GACTGCATTCACGATATTGACATCTTTAAAGACGGCCCATGTGTTCCATTATTTCTGTCAGTATATTTGATTCTATTTGTTTTTATTCAGCTGCTTTTAAGTTGATGTCATTGATTTTATTGTGTATCAACTATGGGGTCCATATATAGTTGCTGTTTCGGCTGATGGCATAATGGAAACTGGAAGGAATGAGCGGAATGAAGTGGCGAATACGTTCAATATCTCACAGCCTGAGATTACCACATTGTGTAACCCATTACGAAACCCAAACGCCGTTTCGGGCATTTCAGATCATCAAGAGCACGTAAACAGTTGAACAGGCTCTACGAAATCGAGGACAACTGACGAATCAAACTTTTGTCCGTCAAATGTAGTCAAGTTATGGGAAAGATAATTAGAAATTATCGTCCAGGTGTATCTGAACTTATGATAGGTGGCCCCAAAAACTATGTTTTGTCTCTACGAAGTGTCATATTGCCAGCAGAGGTTAATGGTGTACACAACTGGGGGTATTGTCGCTGGTCATGTTTTCAGATGAGTCCAGATTCGTTGTGCATTTCCAAAGAGGCGTGGTCAAGTCTGGCAACGTCAAAATGAACGTCAGTCCGATGACAACCTGAGACCTCCTGGCACATTTGGCTTTGTGGGAGAGCATCACTGTGACTGAGCGAACCCAAGGCAAAAAGCGCGAGTCGACGATTTATCTTTCAGGATGGCAAGGCCCGTGCTCACCGTACTGGGTTCTCCAATCCTCACCTTTAACAGTATCTCATCCAGAGAACAGATGCATCAACGTCATAGCTGACCCTGCCCAGTGCCTCATGGCATTTGTGACCATCGAAAGTTTCTTTATTAGCGACTCACTTTCAAAAACTTTCCAGTGAATGCTTGACAAAATATGCCTCAGAATACTGAAAAAACTGACAGCTACAAATAATACATTGTTTCCAGATACATAAAAAATTATCATGCTCAAAGAATCAAAATACCTGTCTTTCTTAGATGTACTCCCACCAGGATATTGCATTTTATAACAACAGTGGGCAATGGAAGTGCTCTCAGACTGCTCACGTTTGAAGGTTACGGTGACTCATGTTTTTTAGCAGTTGACACTTGTCAAAATCCACCCATAGCATCAGTGTCTCAACGTTCATCGACGACGTCAGTTGGAGAGGTGGCAGTTCAAGGCAAAGCAGTAACATCGGTTATCAAAGTGTCCAGGGCGATGTTGAGAACAGAGACGCCACAGCAGAATTTCGGCTACAGAAATGATGACGCATGTTTCTTCAGGTGAACCAAGTGGCGCCAAAAAAAACACGACATAAATTTTGCGGCCGCTGCTCTGTTTTGCCGCCGATGAACTGAAAGGTATGTGTGCGATAATTCGTCATGTTTCATTATTTCAAATGGGGTAGTGTATTGTATCTTATTTTATTTATTTAAATATTTATTTATTTTATTTTTATTTTTTTATTATTTTTTATTTATTTATTTATTATTGTTTTGGGGGAAGGGGGTTTGTAGTGTTACGTGTTCAGATAACAACAACAACCTTAATTGCCTCGACTTTTCGGTCTGGTTGTTCCAAACCGGTACTTTTAACGAGTGAATGATTGGTTTTGTTTTCAGACTGCCTTCAACAGTCTTCCGGACGCATGTCAACTTGAGTGGTTTGGTTTGGTTGTTGTTTAACACTCCGCTATATTCCAGCTTTATGGCGGCGGTATGTAAATAATCGCGTATGGACCAGACAATCCAGTGATTAACAGTATGAGCTTCCATCTACGCAAGTGGGATACGTGGTTAAGGCGTTCGCTCGTCACGCCGAAAGCCCGGCTCCGATTCCCTACATGTGTACAATATGTGAAGCCCATTTCTGGTGTCCCTTGCCGTGGTATTGCTGGAATATTGCTAAAAGCGGCGTGATACCCAAATAACTCACTCGCTCACATACTCCTCGTTACTGGTCTTTTCAAGCGCTCAAAGTGATGGCAGCTGCAAAGGTGCAAGGGCACTGAGTTGATGATGATCTTAACCAGCCTGACAGTGGCAGGACCACCCAACCCCTCTTTGCGGCATTTATCTATATAAATCTGTAAAATAAAACATATTGTATAAACTCACAACACAGACAGGCACTTTTACTCGTTGTAACTGGAAAAGTCATCACAAGATGTGTACTCAGTTCATATGTCAGATGAGTCACAATTATAAGGATGCTTCATTTCCTTTCTGTATATACATCCTGGTATATATCTCCTGGCATAGAAATAACTCTCATAAGTGGAACAAACGCCACTAACAGGATATGTCACTTAACATTTCCCAGAAGCTCAGTGACGGCAGTATACTTGATGGTGGCTTGAATGCAGCTTCAGGCCCCTGAATATAACTGATAACCCCAATACTATTGATCTCTTATTATTGGCGGGGCAGTGGGTAGCCTAGTAGTTACAGCGTTACAGACCTGTGGGTTCGATTCCACATGGGTACAACGTGAAGTCCATTTCTGGTGTCCCCCGCCCTAATTTATTATTTGGGAGAGGGATTTTGTCATTTCTATTTAAATACAGTATTAGTTGCTTTCAACAATCACTACCTCGGACCAGTGTGGCATACAGTAATGTACGTTTATAACGAACGCTCTTATACCGAACTGACGGATATCACGAACTGTATTTGGTCCCTTCCACTTGCATATTTCCGTCCGAATTCGTATAACGAGTTATGCTTACAACTAACTACAATAGTGGTCCCTTTGAGTTCGGCCTAACCCTAGTGAACTGTATGTCATAGCTATAGGGTATTATCCACACAGCAATGTTAAAGTCGACAGCTTTTGTGACTGGAACAAGGCATTAACATTGGAGAAAATATCATTTTTGTAAACCTCACTTTCATGTTGTAACCAAGATGAAACAAGTAAGCGGCGTCTCTCTACAGCAATTTTCATGTAATATAGCCCCAAATAGTTCACTGGGCCATTAATAATCGTGCTTAGATAAGGTATAATAGTTGTATGTAGCATAAACATTCAGCTAACAATTCAAGCTGTTGGTGTGAGAGGAAGATGAAAAGCGTTTAAGCTGAGCGTGTAAATGTAGGGAGCAAAGGCACGCATTAAATTTAAATAAACTCTGTTCTAAGCAACATTGAACCCATTTGTAGAGGATAGAACATAGGCGGGCCTTTATCTTGAACACGTATTATAGGGCCGGAGGCGAGGCGAGGCGAGGCGCTACTTCCGGTACTAAGCTGGTTCCCGGCCCTTTACACTCACTGAAGTTATGCGATATGCGAGATGGGGCCCAGCTTACTCTCCGGTACCATATTTCCGGCAGACAAGCGTATATTCAAGAACCAGTTCTGGTTCCAAATTGTGCGACCGCCAAATGTGACTTTGTTGGTGTACAACCATGCTTTGGTTGTCAGCATGGGTCACTGAAGATCAATTTAACCCGGATCTTTACGGATCATTTCAGATCAACTCTAAAAATACCACGACTGTATTGATTTTTCCATCACAAGGGATAAATATTTCAGTGTTCAAACAGTTAAGAATATTTTAATAATGTTAATTTCCGTTATATTCTCGAATTTTAAAAGAACTTGAAATGCTTGATAAATTTGGAGTCATATGTTTTGTAGATAGATGTATTATTTGGAAGTTTAAATCAGTAACTAAGATTGTTAGTGGCCGTATCCTCCTCAAAGGGGGTTAAAGTATTGTAAAATTATTGTCCTCCTGAGAGGATACGTAAGTCCCAAACCATTCAAAGTCTATTTAAATCTATCCACTCTTTTTAATCGTATAATATGTGTCTTTCTAATGTATGGCTAGGTGTGTCTAAATTGCTAACATCTAAAGGGAGGGTGTAAATCCAACTAGGGTCCATGCAGGAAACAAATGTACTGTAAGTCCCCATGGTCCCTAGTATGGTGATCTACCTTCAGTTGTTGGCGATCTATAGCCTGTTTTTACATTGTCTCGTCATGTCTAGTTAAACTGTTTTACATGTAATTTCTAGTTTTAAATAAATATCTGTGATACACTAGTAGTTATACTGTTTTCCGTCAACAGGTTTTCATTTTCTAATTTTATTGATCTATAATATAATTATTAATTTTCTCGTTACAATATGGCTGAAATAGTGCCGATGTGACGATAAATATTAACTCACTCACTCACTTTAAGACCCGTGAAGATCTGGGACAGAATAGGTCTTCAGCAGCCCATGTGCTTGCCATGAAAGGCGACTATGCTTGTCGTAAGAGGCGACTAACGGGATCGGGTGGTCAGTTTCGCTGACTTGGTTGACACATGTCATCGGTTCCCAATTGCGCAGATCGATGCTCATGCTGTTGATCACTGGGTTGTCTGGTCCAGACTCGATTATTTACAGACCGCCGCCATATAGCTGGGATATTGCGAAGTGCGGCGTAAAACTAAACTCACTCACTCACTCTAAATACAAAACAAAAACATGATACATAAACCCACGTGTCTGACATGACAAAAATCAAATACAGATTTAACAGAGTTAAAATGGTTAACAAAAATTTATAATTCATTGCATATACCAATTATAAACTTCTCATGCATGTTCTTGGCCGTTTGCACCCTGACAAGTTTAACACATCGCGGAGAACACGTGTCATATGCCTTGTCCACTTGCGTCACCCGGATGACTTTACCGACAGGGACAACTTAAAATCCGGAAAATTTTAGCGGCGGGAAATAAAACAAAACCCGGATCGATATACCATGAATATTATCCCTAACACCATTCACACACTATTGATTATAATTGACTATGTACAATAGAAATTAGTTTTTATGAGGAAAATGTCATCCATCATGAATGCATTTCAGAACGTCCTGGTAAGTTAACATTGTAATGATTTTCAGGGTCAGCTTAACGTGGTTTCGTTTCTAATATTAAACCAGGAAGGATTTCGAAATTTACACCATTTCCTGTCATATTTCATTGTTTGCTCATCGAGGCCTGTTAGTAACACTGAAGCATACAACATACAGACATCAGCATGGACGGGGACAGATTCGATGTATGCGACGACGTGGGTTTCACATAGAAAGCCTTTGGCAAAAATCAGATCCGTGGTTTAACAGTTTTAACAGCATTGGTGGTTGTGTTCATCATTGGCTGTGTGGCGGTTCTCTGTGTGTCGTCGTCGGTACACTAAGGAGAACCCACCACAAGCTTCCATTTTCCGTGAGTGTTATTTGTCGCATGAGTATTTGTAGTTTTCATAAAATTTATTTAAAGTTTTTTACGAGCGTTATACGACTAGTGCGTACAGCGTCTTGACCAATGTTACAGCATTCGGCTCAATAAAGCTTTCAAAATATCTTATTACACACACGTGGATGAGTTTTCCACATTTTATGAATTAGTGATACCATGTGTAATTTCCCCATTTTGTATTGAACCCTGTGTTTCCGTGATTTTGAATTAAAGAGCAATTGAATTTCACTCATGTTCTCTTTGTTGTGTAACACTGCACTCAGCAATATTACAACTATATGACCAGGACCTGGCCCCGATTTCTCGAAACAAACATTTTTACTCAATCGCAATGTGAAACAGCTGAATGTCTAACTCGCGTGTATTTCTAAAAGTTAAAAAGCAAAAATAACTCGAGAAACCTATGTACCAAACTTAAATTCTCTACTATGAGTTAAATATTGATTTCAGTATATTCTGGAAAATGTATTTTCCCGCATTTTCTCAAATTTGAGAAATCAGACTTAAGTTTGTTTCGAGAATTCGGGGCCAGGTCTGTAAATAATCGAGTCTGGACCAGACAATCCAGTGATCAACAGCATGAGCATCGATCTGCTTAATTGGGGTACGATGACATGACTACCTGATCCCGTCAGTCTCCTCTTACGACAAGCATGGGTTGCTTAAGACCAATTCTAACCCGGATCCTCACGGGCAAGTCGTGAAATAATAATTGTCAACATTATAGTAAGAGTTTTTTTAAGACGTGCGACAGTAGGGTAAAACAAATATCACCTTGTGTTATTTGAAATATCTCAAAACGATGTTAGATCATTTACGTTTCATTTTCAGATAAAACACGCTGTTTATGATAAGAAGGGAATCGGAGATGACGGTTCAGGTAAATATATTATTCTTATCATGTGTAATCGTTACAACGATTAAGGAAAGTAAATGCAACATGATTCAGGTCGCTGGGCATTTTGAATACATTGTTTTATTTAAGCGTTCCCATTGATCGGGTTTGTATAAATAACCCTTACCTTCCTGGTCCTGATTGGGCCATTAACCAGCCCGTAGATGTAACTTTGCTTTCACGTGCGGAAAAAATATTCATGTGTTATTATGTGTAGATATATTATAGATTAAAATATATGAATGCGAAAAGAGAGTTCGGTTGATCCTTACACAGTCAAGCAGTTTAGGCTCATTATCAGCTCAAGACCACGAATGGGACTTTCCCAGGAAGCACTGTGAAGTCGAACCCACCAAGAACGTTTCGGCGAATGTGACGACTCTCTAACACTGCAGCCTTCGGTGCCGGAAGGGTTGTGTTCCTGGAGGTACCTCCGGGTACTTTACCAATGCCACTCAAGAGATCAGGAGGTACCAAACGAAGGACACCAAGAACAATGGGAAGTCGGACAACTTGGACCTGAGGCTGAAAGCGTGACATTTCGTAAGCCAGGTCCGATTATTTCAAGAATCGCTCAACTGCCATTATTGAAAGAAGTTAATCAAATAGATTAATCCCAGTTTACATTTACCTGACAAACAACTCGTTTCGTGTACATGTCTATCTGTTAACGAAAACTGTAGGTGCCGCCATCGAGTCGAGAACGCAACACCGACTCCTTTCTTATAGGAATGTGTATATCTAATCAAAGGCAACATAATGAGGATGTCTAACCCCATGAGCAGACTGGAATTGTGAATGAAATAAAATTGAAAAGTATATCATTCGCCTTGATTTACATCCTAAACCTACATGACAGAATTACGCATCGTTCATCTGAAATTTCCGAGAAAACGAATCGACACATCTGAAAATACTTTATGACTAACTCTTATGCGCTTCTTTCCTCTTCTACGTATGAATTAGTTCGGCAGTTTGCTGCATCGATTCAGTGATATGAATGAAGAGAAAGGTACATCGAAAGTGAACACGATGTTTCCCATGGCAACTGCCTCCTTTTTCATGCAGGTCTTCAGCCCGGCCTTTGCACCGTTGACATTGTCTGACACATACGTGCGTTTGTCTTCCAGTCAAACAGAGCATGATGTATTGGTGTTTACTGCCACTATCAACAATATTCATCCTATATATAATTTATTGACTGGAAATGAACACCATATTTCATCCAGACATCTGACAACGAATTCTTCTTATGATTGAATCAATCAATCAATCAGTGACGAATGAAACATATGAATATTCAGGAGGAAAACTTATCCCTATCTTGAGCGTGTGTTTATGAGTCAGTAACACATAGTTATCTGACAAAGGATCGCGGAAATATTGCACCCTTATAACACATGTCAGTCAGCTGCGTTATTCAGATGGATAAGACACACTCAACTTGCATCACAACGTGTAACTAATAAAACATCAATTGGCAGGTATCATTATTCAGAAAGACGTAAGTTGTTCTAGCCTCTAAATCTAATAAAACTATGTTTTAATCCAATTAATCAAAATATATTTTAAAAAATAGATAAAAAATCTTAAACCCCGAACCCGAACCCGAACCCTAACTCTAACCCTAATCCTGGCCACCAAAACGAAGTGACAGGAACGATCGGAATTCACATTATTCTATTGCAGACCGAGAACTTTGTACTCTCACAAACGGAAATGCATTCCCATGACCCAACCCTGTATGTGACCCACGCCATACATGTTTAAGTTAGCCATGCTGTTATTTGGATCATATGAATTTAAAATGTATCGTATTGTGTTACAACGTTTTACCGACTCGCGTAGGCGACATTTCACAATCTCTCTGGTTACTATTTTAAGCAACTGAATAAAATTCAAAGCAGGTAACGCGGGAAGAAAGTAGCCTTTTGTAGTCTTGCCATAAAACATTTCGTATTATTTCTTTCTTGCAGCGACTGTACAGCAGCTTTATGAAGTCCCTTTTGAATGGTGCGTGTGTTGTTATTGTGACAGACGCGACGTGTATAATTCATGTACATACTTCCTTCCAAAAGATTAGACTCACTAGTATATAGCCACTTCAGGGAACTTTTCTAAACTCTATTCTGCTAAATGTCCCATACTGTTTAAAGGGACTGTTTACACATGAACTGAAATGTTGTAAAACAAATTCGTAACGTTGAAAAGATTATTGTCCTGAGTTCAATAAATGACAAAAATCTGTGAAAATTGGCGAATTCTTAACAAAACTTTACACCAAAACGCAGCTGTTCACATACACGATCTTTGCACATGCTTTTCAGCAATTTGATGCATGATCCTCGTGCAGTTCATCTGTATAAGGTTTGCAGTTGGTTCCCACAAGTTAGTCAAGAAATCAACCCATATAGCCATAACATATAGCTATGTATAGCAGTGAGTGTTTAAAGTGAGTCTAAAGTATATATATATATATATATATATATGTATATATCGTCAGTTCTGACCCAAATGATGTTCCTAAATCGTAATGTGTCCATGTGAATGCATATGGGTGTGCATACTGATATATTACGGTAAACATTTATCCCAGTCGTGCTACACCCTCAGTAGTCAATATGTGCCAATGCAGTACATATACATTTTCTGAAAGCATGGGGCACTGAAGTGAATCTTTCTACGTACAGTACAAGTGTAAAGTCGTGCATTTCTGACACGTTGCAGTCATCACACCACCCTGTGATACATGCATGGGGTCGGGCATATAACATCCATTGCACTAAAATAATAATAATACATTGGATATACCTTGGTGTGATGTCGACGTATTCAGTTGGTTTGCCCTGTGATGTAGCAAACCCTTTATAAAAAGAGTATATTTCTTCACACACACACACACACACACACACACACACACACACACACACACACACACACACACACACACACACACACACTGTTTATCTCACACACACGCACACTCACATATATACACACAGAGATTCGTGAGTTTGACGTGCCATGACTTGTTATGATGTTCAAAGCGGTGTTAAAACTCACTCACTCACTCACTCACTCACTGTTTCCTTGTACAGCGCCATCTCGGATCATCATACAGAGGAGGAGGACGGGGGACGTGGACTTCACCAGGACATGGAAAGAGTACAGAGACGGTTTTGGTGATTTAGATGGAGACTTCTGGTTTGGAAATGACAACATTCACAAGTTGACACAGAAAGGTACGATTGTTGAGCTTAACCTCCCTCAAACCTATCCTCCGAGTATAGGTACTTGAGTACGTTTCCATCTCATGAAAATGTGCGTGCCTTGTTTTGAATGAATTGGCAATGTGGGAGCTTTCTATTAAAATCATTTCATTTCCTGAAACATATCTTGATTTGAATTGTTTATGATCCAAAATTAAAATACGTGATGTGTCTGGGTTGTTTTATTACTAGTATCCATCATCATTTAGAATATATACACACCGAACGTTCAATAAAACAGTTCTCATTTCCAACATAATAGCATGTGTTTATCTGAAACTAATGATGGGGGACTACTTTCATAAACTGGCACAGGTCGCAATGTTTTTTGTCTGTTTGATGTTTAACGCCGCACTCAGCGGTCTATAAGTAATCGGGTCTCGACCAGACAATCCAGTTACTATCATGAGCATCGACTTACGATGACACGGATCAACCAGATCAACCAACCTGACCACCCAAACACGTCAGTCACCTCTTACGACAAGTATGGGTTTCTGAAGATCAGTTCTTCATGTAAACATTTACCATATTAGTAAAACGTTCAAAAAAGTGTTGACTTAATGTTATTCAAGGGGTTTTGTTTTCTTGTACCTGTACTAATCAAGTTGTTTGTCGCTCTGCAAATAATTGAGTCTGGACCGGACAATGTAGTGATTATGAGGAAACGAACCAAGTCACGGTGCATGATTATCCGATATATTCAGATGCCTTTCAATACATGGATTCTATGATTCGCCCCGGGATATTTTATCCTGTCAGCAACGACCCACCCAGTAAGGTTGGGGATCTGTCGTATCGGCATAAAAGTCTTTTTGTTAACATATTCATATCCAAGATTACACAATGTCATTTAGAAAGTGGTCAAATATAGCAAATGTTATATTTGGGATTACTTCTTCTTCACTAAAGTACAGATTCGAATACACTTGGGGATGAGTTCCAAACAGAATTCGAACCCTCACTCTCAGTGTCAGGCGACTCAGGCACTCAAAGTCTAACCCACTCAGTCACCTCAGTGCATTCACGGCTCTATTTACGCCAATATTTCCATAACTAAGCTGATGCATGTCCTAGTATTGATAGGTGTCACGTTTTCATCCCATACCTCTGGATTTGCCAGTTACATCACGGCTCTATTTACACCAACTGTAATCATGCATGTGCTGAAGCTGTGACGTTTTGTCATTGTAGGCTACACCCGGCTTCACATCGAGCTAACAACATTTGACAACATCACATACAACATTGAATACGGTGACTTCCGGGTGCGATCAGAAGCAGAGCATTACCAGCTACTTTGGCCAATTTCAAGCCAGGTCACCTTGCCCTAACGTTCGACTGTCTCATTTCCCATAACGGAAGCAGATTTTCTACGGTTGACAGGGACAATGATATGTCGGAACAGAACTGTGCCTCGCTTTACTTCTGTGGATGGTGGTACACTTCTTGTCAGCTGTGCAACTTAAACGGACTTTACAGGAGTAAGGAACTCTACAAAAGGGGATATAATCTGGTGCTCTATTGACAGATACAGGGGAATTAAACACACACTGATGGCCTTACAGTCACAGTCCTGATCTACTTACCAACGAGGGGCGGCGGAGTAGCCTAGTGGTTAAAGCGTTCGCTTGTCACATCGAAGACCAAAGTTCGATTCCCCACATGGATTCAATGAGTGAAGCCCATGCTGTGTCCCCCGCCGTGATATTGCGCGGGATATTGCTTAAAGCGACGTAAAGCAAAAACTCACTCACTCACTAGTACCACCACTTGAGGATCTGACCAGGAATAAGGTGATGAAGATATTGTGCATACCATACATCTGAACACATTTGTAGAGCTTGTTCCTCACATAAAATGTGACTATATCAAGACGATGTTTCTTAGATACATGGATATAGGTGACTTTTTAAAATACTTTGCATCTATCAGTATAATTTTCTCACCCTACTGATTGGCTAGTTAGTTCCGTTTGTTCCTACCAATGAAAATGCATAGCCGTAATTCTGAGAAAATTCTGAGAAATATTCAAAATGCCACTAAATCTCATCATTTTCTGAGGTCATATTCGTAAACTAGTCGTAACAACTATGAGTACTCTAAAATGAACTCGAGAGGATTTCAGTGACTTAAAATATTTCTTAACCCTTCGAAACTGTCCCCATTCACGGAAGGGGGTTGTAGATTTCAGTTGGGAACTTTCGGAGTCAATAAAGTGTGTAAAGTGTAAAATAATTGTTCATTTCCACTCAGTCTCTGCCACTCATTATATATTCAGCCAGGGACTTACAAACAAAATGGTAGTTTTACCATGTTCTTGTCATCAGTGATGATGATATACTGAGAGAAACAAATAAGGTAACACCACTTAATGGCAGTGTTCCCTTATTATTTCTCAGATTTCCTCCCACGGCGCTATTCAAAGCTGCTGATGAAAACTGGAAAATATTAAAGGAACGCTGGAATTTTCCTGTGTTCCTTTATGTGTTTCTCTCAGTATATAATGGAAAAGGCAGCAACACTTTTTGAGTAGATTGCAGAGATCACAATGTCCATATTGCTTAGTTGCCTTTGCTTTGAACAATCACAAAATAATCACATAAAGAATCTGGCAGTGTGTGGTGCTGTGATGCCAGCTAAACTCTTCCTAAAGCTGTTAATTAGTAGGCTGTTCCCGTTCGACTCTGGTTGTACCTTTAAACAGGAAAATAACTGATATTTATATTTTTATAAACATAGATAATAGAAATCAATTGAAGATTATAAATGATTAGGGTTGGGGAACTTTTAAAATGTTATAAAAAGTATTTGGTATTTGTAAACTAGTTTTTGACAGTGCCTTTACAAGGATTCAGAGTAGGTTCTTGAATAAGATCACAGGAACCCAAGCCCCAACATGCTTGTCCTTAAACCTGGTGCTATCCATGCATATAGTTTCACAGCCATTTGCTACTGAAACTTTTGATTTGATTTAAATATAATTATTCAAGAGAATGGATTGGGTACAAATTATGCCAACTTAGTGAAACTCTCTCTTAGTGAAACCCTTGCTTACATGCAAAATTGAAACAAACTATATGTACAGGGATAGAAAGATATATACAAAAGGATATATACAATACAATTAATACATGAATTATTTATATCATAAACATTATATCCAATTACTGAACCTTTGGAGTTTGTTATATATTTTTGAACTTCTTTAAAAATTTGAACATTGTCACTGTACGGAAGATACTGAAACTTTTAAATATATGCCCAGACAACATTCTGGCAAATAAAGACGGCTAATGTTAACTTTCAATGACAATAGCGCATACAAATATCAATTTGTACATCTTTAAACACTATTTTACTTCTTTACAAGCATCTTAGTAAATCTTGGTTCACAATTTTCTTTGGAGTAAAATAATAATCACTATAATGTATGCACTTTGCATAGACTCCATACACAAAGTGCATGCTTAAAGCACTACATTCCCCGGTCAAACGATCAGTATCCACTCGGTTGTCTTCTCAGCTCATTCAGGAGTATGTAGCCCCAGTTACCTGTGAGGCGCTAGAAGGTAAGCTGTAAGCATGGCCACATCATGCTAACGAGTGAGTGACCAGAGGCACATTTAGTGGCAAGGCACTTGTCCGTGAAGACAGGTATGGAATATTGTAAGGGACATTCTCGAGATCTCGCATTCTTTGTACGTTCGTTTCAATGGTCGAGATCGCGAAAATGTGAATGTCCTTTTCAGTATTCCATAGCCACCACATGTACTACGGGACAGGACCAAACCAATGTCTGGAGTTATTCTGCTAAAAGCTCTTCGACCAACAGTGTTCAGATTTACCTGTCAGTGAGTTTTTACCCGTGCGTTGAACGGATATACTGGCCGCGCAGATATTTAACAAAATAGAAACTATATTATTATGTTACTAAGTAAATGGTAGCTTTATATCGCGGCGGCGTACACTTACTCAAGTGTTGCCTTGGCAAACCAGTGATCGATACCATGAATGTCAACTAACTAACACACACACACATGTATAGATATAAAGAGATTCACTCTACATCCTTAAATTGTAACAACGACGTCAGCATACGTGGACAACAGCGATGACGCACGTGCATGTTGTAGAATCAGATAAACTTATTCTACGCCATTCAAACGAAACGACGACGCAGGCACATATTGTAGAATCAGTTCGACTCACTTTACACCCTGTCACTGTAACGATGATATTCGCACACGTCGGGCATCACACTGACTCACTCTGCATCCGTGGACAACAACGATGACGTCCGCATTGTCGACGAATCGCATCGACTCACTCTTCACCCCCGGGTCATAACGATAACGTCCGCCCAAAAACAATTAGCAAAGGCCCATTACAACACAACGTATAGGTCAGGGAGTCATGAGCCAACCATGACCTTTGTATCGTCTATTCCAACCGGAAGAAGCATTCAGTGTTCTCAGTTTCACATTGTAATGACCAAATGGCTTGTGAAAAAATGAAACGATGTGCAGGAAACTGTTTCATACAGCCTGACAACCAAGGACTTTTCTGTCACGGTAGGTATAGTGTTGTCGCATTCTATATTTTTTAGTAAACAGATTCCGGTGTAAAAACATATCCCTCACACTTTCATAAGCGTGCACGGAGCCATGGGGGGGGGGGGTAGCCTAGTGGTTAAAGCGTTCGCTCGTCACGCCGAAGACCCAAGTTCGATTCTCCACATGAATACAATGAGTGAAGCCCATTCCCGGTGTCCCCCGCCGTGATATTGCTGAAATATTGCTAAACTCACTCACACTCCCGGAGCCACGGGTGGCTCAGTCGTCTAATGTGCTGTGTAGAGTTGTGTCCCTTGGACAAGACGGACAGTTACGATTGTTGCTTCGAATCGCTCTTCGCCCCATTTCATTGCTAGGCGTGTCAAGACCATACCCCAACTCATGGGTTTCACCGAAGTGTTGGATGTCTGAGACCTGCATCGTTTCAGGCTTTTATTATTTTGTCAGCTGACTCACTGTGATGTATAATTGAAAAATGCTAAAAGTTGCGTTACACACAACTTTAAACCTAAGCATGTACATACCCTCTGTATAGCATGCCAGTTTACAATATGTTCACTATCTATATGTATGATCGATCGTACAACATATCGCAGATATATTTTTTGGCTTCGGGTCATGCGAGTTTTACAATAAGTTTACTGTTTCAATATATGATCGATCGTACAACATATCGCAGATATATTTTTTGGCTTCGGGTCATGCCAGTTTTACAATAAGTTCACTGTTTCAATATATGATCGTGTAACATATCGCAGATATATATTTGGCTTCGGGTCATGCGAGTTTTACAATAATTTCACTGTTTCGATATATGATCGTACATATATATCGCAGATATATGTTTGGCTCTCGGGTCTTTTAAATCTTACGATTTGTATGTTAATTTCAAATATTTGTACTCATCTATATGTCATCAGATGCCGGATACAATTTCAACAAAATCAATAAAATTATATAAATAAATGATACGAAGTTCCGTTTCGTTTCACTGGTGTATATCCTTCGGTTGACAGTCGGGTGGTCTTGTTGTTCAAGCATATGCGGATCCGATTCCATAATACATAAACTGATTTCTTGTGTTCACCGGAGTGATATTGCTAGAATAGGGCGACGTAAAACCAGACTCACTGATTCATTCACATAAACAAGGCGGTGGGGTAGCACAGTGGTTAAAGCGTTCACTCGTCACGCCGAAGACCTGGGCTCCCCACATGGGTAAAGTGTGTGAAGCCCATTTCTGGTGTCCCTCATCGTGATATTTGCTGGTGAACACTACACATAGTAGTTACGTTATCTAAAAACGAGAGGTTTGTCCAGATAGACGATGGGCGAGCTGTGTTGATTAACCGCTGAATATTGTGTCTCGGGCTAAGCCCTTGACATATTCAGCTGTCAATCAACACCGGCTCGCCCATCGTCTGTCTGGACAAACCTCGAGTGACTGGATAGCGTAACTGCTTTGTACCGTGCCCACATTGCGTGTTTTCAAAATCTGAGCGGGATGTTTGAATTTGAAATCATTCTGTGTCACACCGCCGTGATGTCAAGTCACGAGTGGTATAGACCTTACATGGTCACAAATAATTGACGAAGTTGACAATAATAGACTGGAATGGGATGATGCAATCAAAGACACATTTTTTGGCAAGCTTCTGAGGCTATGAAAACTCAATCGGCCATGTCAGATGGGTTGACTCAATTGTCAGTATCGAACACAGACGAAGGTGCAACGTTTCCTGAACTTTAACACTATACACTTTACTCAGATCATGAAACATTATGATGTAGACACTAGCTCTCGTATTAGATGAAGTAGCTACTGCAAGGTTTACATTCGATTGAGACTGTTTCATGTGCGTGAGAACAGTAGGCGTGGCTTGCTATCATGTAGTGAGCCAATCAGATAGCCGCGGTCAAAGGTTACTTCAAGCCGTGGTGTACCTATTAGATAGACCACGGGTAAGATCAAAGGGACCGCCGCCAGGGCATTGTACAAAAACCATACTCAACCCCCCACCCCCACCCCCTATGAATGACTAGTTATTATCACTGATGTGCGAGCACGCTACACTTAACGTGAATGGAAAATTTTATGTTTTCAATCAATTTTGTATTCTTGTCAAATTCGATTACCAAACTTCATGTAACTGAAGTTTTCCTCAGTCACTTATCACAAACTGTTTCTTACGGGTCGTAAATTACATTGATATACCTAAATGTAACCCGTGAAGATCCGGGTTAGAACTGGCTTTCAGCAACTTACGCTTGTCGGCGTTAAACAACAAACAAACGTCACAATTTCACTTCAAAACCTAGGTTAGAAATGAATGAACCAATATGAAGTTTTCACGGCTCTGAAGAAATCTTATTTTCAACTAACACTTTCTTCCCAAGATTGAAAAGCACATTTATTGGGAATACCTAATGGACATATATTATCGGTTCCCCAATTGTGTAGATCGATGCTCATGATAGTGAATACTGGATTGTCTGGTCCAGATTCGATTACATACAGACTGCCACAATAAATCTGTATTATTGCTGAGTGAGGCGTTAAACAATAAACAAACAAAACCTAAATGTATATCTGCAGGCAAGATGTCACGCTTGGTGGAGTTGAAGGACCGTGGTGGTGCCACTATGTCTGTGAATCAGTATGAAGACTGCTTCTTCTACCGAGGAAGTCTGCCCATCCCTTTTGATGAACATATGAGAAGAGTGAAAGAGATGAAACTCACATCAGATGATGTGCTATTGTGTAGCTATCCCAAGTCAGGTAATCACTGGCAACGGTTTTTCGTTGATTTTCAATTTGTGTAACATTTTTCTTGACTTCCTCTTAACTCTTTGTATGCTGCGTTGTATCTATAGAAGATAAAGTTTGTTCATATGAATATATGCATGCCATGATTATATGTTGGTTATTTCAGCTTTAGCTGCGGTAAACTACACGTAACCATCCAAACATTCGATGTCTTTTGCAAACAATTGCAAGAAAGTTTGAAGGGACTCATATGTCGCAATGGTCGTTGCGGTTTATCAGCATATGTATTTGACATCGCCCCAATATACCTTCAGTCTGTTTCTATTAGTCCCAGAATGTTACATGTTAGAGGTACATGTTAGTATATGTCACATTGTAGAAGCATTTGACTATTCTTAGATGTTTTTTAGGTTTTTATTTAAACATATTTATTCAGTAAAGAATGTGATTCGGAACATGTTATCCAGCTTAGGTAACCATCTCCCGAGTATTTACAACATGATTGATATACAACAACATACATGTAATATAGAAAGAAATATGTACAGAGATAGTTTTTTATACATATGAAAATATATACAACATTCAAGAAAAACGCTTGGTATTTCATATGTAATGCTAAACTGCTTTAAATATTGCATGATTTGGAGTATATGATAAGTTCTTGCTGCCATTTAATAATAAATCTAAATTTAAAGCATCAGTTTACATGTATCAGTGTATTTCTATGGAAACGTATTGATGACACATTCCAAAAGGTTTCTATAATCAACGTAGATGAGACTTTCATCACATACATTCATATAACGACACTTACACACAGCTATATGAAGCGTTACCTTATTGAATGTTCTGATAGTTCCTCAATCAACACATATCAAGGTTGAAAGAGAACATAGATCGGTCATTATTAAGCCACTGGTAACAAAGAACAGACGTAGAACCATTATCGTTTACTCGAGGAAATATGGTCACCAATGTCGATTATTCGATAGTGAATATCTTCTCTTAAGAAGAACATGCTATCATGCACGTCGGCATAACATGTCATCAACATAGAGGTAAAGCATCATCTACGCAGATTTTGGCATCATCTTCATTTACGTATCTTCTACATATGGTTAGAAATGATCTTCAGCAATCCATGCTTGTCGTAAGACTCGAGGAACAGCATTGCTTTAAATTGCCATCGTCTCCCATCTGCATAGATCAATGGTTATGGTGTTGATTACTATATTGTCTGGCCCAGACTGGATTATTTACAGACCGCCGCCATAAAGCTGAAATATTGATGAGTGTGGCGTAAAAGAACAAACAAAACATCTACATAGATGATATATTTACACTGTGGAACTAAAATGCTTCCATATATTTCATTGACATTGACAGCTGATACATGGCAGTTATTAAGCAATACATGCGTCTTTCCCAGGTACCCATAGTTTGTGGGAGGTGGTATCATCCATCGTGCATGGTGACCTGAAGTCCAAGGAAAGTGTTTCGGATGTCGACATGCTAGACTTCACATCTATGAAACTACTAGACAGAACACCAACACCAAGAATTCTGGGCTGTCACTTCCGCTTCCGGTTTCTTCCGAACGAGGTTCTGACCAAGAAGCCCAAGGTGATCTACCTCCAACGTAACCCCAAGTCTGTCGCCGTATCCTACTACACGATGACGTACGGCATGACGACGGTCCGCAGTTATGAGGGTCACGTGCCCGTCAAGCAGTACGATGGTACCTGGGACGATTACTTGGAGTCCTTCCTGGAGGGTGAAGGTAACAGTAAAACATGAGCGAGTGAGTGAGTGAGTTTGGTTTGTTTGTTTTGGAAGTGGTGGGGGTGGTGTTAGAAATATTATTGGCACTGCACATGTAACAGTGATAATATAAAAATTGATTGTGAGAAAAAATATGTGTGATTATATGCGACCAAGAAAGCCAATTTTGATTGAGTGAGTGAGTTTCGTCTTACGCCTCTTTTAGCAATATTCCAAAAATATCACGGCTCGGGACACCAGAAAATGGCTTCACACACTGAACCCATGTGGGGAATCAAACCCAAGCCCTTGGCGTAACCAGCGAACGCTTTTGCCACTGGACATTGTTACAGGACGCCAGAGGTTTGAGATGCACGAGCGCACTGAAAATAATTTCCCTCAGCTAAGTTTTGTCATAGTTTGGCAGGACGCTCATCTACATTTTCCTCATGTTTCTCTCCGAAAAAAATACAATTAATGTAAACGCACTTTATATATTTTTAATAAAATGTCCATTTGCAGATATACTGTCATGTAACTATGATGTAAGATATTCTCCCCCGTCAGTCCCATGCATCAGCCGCCTCAATATAGTTATTCGTAAATTCAAATCGTCCAACCCCTGACCACACCCCGGTGTGACTGCTGGTCTTTCATCACTCCTGTTTGTAGATCTCATCATTGATCAATCACAGGCCTCACTGTAGACTTCCTACATTAGCTTTACATGTGACATAACTAAAACAATTTATACTTAAATAGTCTAAGGTATAGGCCTTGTTCCACACCAAGACAAGCATAAATTTGGAGTCTCCTTAGGCAACATGCCTCCTTCACATAGCATTGAGTGGGTACCCAGTAGGATGAGGATGTGACTGTTAACCTTCTCACGCCTCATACGGCAGCATGGGTTCTGTACTGTCCAGTACACTTGATACTTAATTTGTGTGCAAATTGATTCATTTGTCCAGGTAACAATACCATGGCTTCGTTTGCAGTGGAATACGGATCCTGGTTCGACCATGTACTGGACTGGGAACAAGCAAGGTTAGATAATCCCGAGTTGTCTATATTTCTGCTACAGTATGAAGATATGAAAAAGGTATGCTAATCCAAGAGTACGTATTTCTTACTGTAAAGAGGGCCAGGCTTCTTCACTGCGTGGAGATCATTTCTAGTCAAGATATAGTTGAAGTAAGAAGTACTTTGCCCCCTCGGAGCATGAGATATTATATCAGTGTATTTCGATGACTGATGCATCGATAAGAGCTCAGTTAGAGTGAATGAGTGAGTGAGTTAAGATTTTAAGTCACGTCATCTTGAATACACTTTCTTGGGCTGCCAATTCGTTCTAACCTAGTCCCACTTTACCATGAATTACTGATTCTAAGTACGGTATATAGCGTGCGGTCAGTCTTGAGGCAGGGTGTATCCAGCTCACTTCAGGAACAATCTCTACAAACACCTCATACTGAGCTAATCATTTATCTGAAAGTTGCTGATATGTTAAAAATGTTTTCAATTCAATTTTTAAAATTGTTTCAAGGAAAGTAATCATTAATTTACAGTGGGTAGCCTATTTCTCTGCGATAATTGCATACCTTTGTTTGAATAGATTTTTTCTGAAATGATATTGTAGTATAGTCCAAAGTCCATATTACTCCATTACTTACTATGTTTGGCTCATCCTGTGAATGAGACTACAGAAAGTTTCCCTCCTGTTACTAACGAGAAGATACAAAGCAAGAAAAACAGACAAAGAAGGTCAATACTTCTTTGGTTGTGGTTGATGATGAAGCAAACAAGAAATAATATGATAATATATGATAATATATGATAATATATGATGATATATATGATAATATATGAATGATAATATATGATGATATGGGGTTGCTATGTTTTGGACTCCGAGTTTCCAGTGTTTCGGAGAGTGTTCTCAGCCTAGTAACGAGTTGATAATGTTTGTACCATTTTTGTCAAACCCAATTTTCAAGTGTACGCTTCCTTGTGCACAGCAATTTATAACGAATATTGTAATGTTTTATTAAGAGTACTTCAGTGACGAGCTACTGAAGATGTTAGGGGCAGGTTAAGGAGTCCATATATGTTTATTCCCATACATTTGCATGGTCAGAAATTACAACGTGCGTCAGATAGCTCCCTTGTCCACTTGCAGGATCCAGTCTCGTGGATTCAAAAGATGTCGGAATATTTAGGAAAGGCTTGTGACGTTGACACCGCCACCAGCATTGCACAGATATGCAATTTCAGCACCCAGAAACCAAGAAGACCGCAATCGACAATAGTTCTTGCAGCTGACGGCAAGACCACAAGAAAAGGTGACAAATTGGCACATTTGATTACTATGTTTAAAGGTCACATGCAACGTAAAACACAACTTTGCAGATTCTGATACCTTTCGGTATGGACTTACCGAAACAAATCGTCAAAAAATGCAAATTCAACTTATAAAGTTGAAAAATAACGCGATGAAAAAAAACGCGCGAAATCGGAGTTCAAACGTTTCACTAATTTTCCCCAGACTTTTCTGGGGAATACGGGTTTCAACAGCTGGGCTGCGCTTATAGCACGTGCGCGGTAAAGTAGGTTCGCGCAGCTTGGAAGCGGTTGTCGGGTGAATACTCTGTGAAGGCTTTGGTGTGAGCTATTTTTCTAATGTTTTGTTGATATCTCACAGGCGCGAGCTTTTTTATATGTTATGACAGTAAATTAACTGTTTATATAATTTCATTTGTCTATTTCACCACACGTTCTTCTTGCCGAGTCACTTTCTCAGTTCGATACTTAAAAGCAATGCCATTATTTAGCGTTGACAGAATTTCCAACTGTGATATAGATATGTCGTTGTCACAGACTAAACTCAATGTCTTGTTTTATTGACACCTGTGTGTCTGCCTGCCTGTCTGCTAATGACAATATTCAATACACAGCTGCTATCACTGACCACATGCAATTTGAACTTAACACCAATCAGGCTATACACCATAAACAAAATGCATTGATTTATGGCCCGAGTTCGGTCTCTGTCACATTATGTAATTACACAGACAGGCAGGTGTGATACTTGAACATATTACATGTTATGATGTCTGTTGATTGCAAAATATTATACACAAAAAATGAGCATGTATTTACAAAACCCAACATCTCTACATATGCACACACAATGAGCCGTGAGGGCATCTGCAAATGAACCAGCCGTTACACTTGAGTGCACACCCACCCGCTCTGACTGGGTTCGGTATCCCGGCTGCTTCGTTTCTTGGGAAGTAAACCCAAGTACACAATATTGCACTTTTGATTTGCGATTGTACGCTTACAATTTTGTTTATATGTTTTTTCATAACCAGCAATGTATATTATATGTCATGAATAAGTGATAATTGTGTTTTAATTATGTTTGATTTTTTGGTTGCATGTGACCTTTAAAACTAAATTAACTTAGAAAGATAAGTAACAACTGGTTCGAACATATGCCTGCTTATTATTAATTTACACAACAATCGCGATACAAACGTGTGATCTTGTCTCTGTATCAGCCGACCTTTAATATCAGGAACGTGTAATATTTGCAAATTATTTCTACCGAACCTGAAAATTAACCTAACAACGCAAATCCATGAATGGTTTCCATGCATGACTGAGGAATATAAGGACATCTGGCACAATTTTGAAATAAACAGGAAGTACCAAATGAATTCCCACAGTTCGGCATTCCCATGGGGTAACATAGAAAATGTAAGCTTGTAAGCAGGGTACGTTGAAAATAATAGAAGAGCGCTCCACCAATCAGAAAACGACATTTATGTGTGAGGAAAAATAAATCATAACGTTTATTACCCAACTTTGTTTCACAGCAGTCTTATATATAAAACGATGTTTGTTGTAGGTCGTGCAGGGGACTGGAGGCATTGGCTGACTGTGGCGCAGAATGACCATTTTGATAAGGTGTACAAGATAAAGATGGCCAAGAGTAGCTTTCTGAATCACTACAATTGAACTGTCTTCCTCATTTCTGTATCTACATGATCGCTACATGCTGAAGTGCTGGTGCTTATGTTAACGGGGTGTCAATTTCTTCCTCAGTGGGGCTCAAATTGCAATTAGTTTCATGTATAATGAACACTGCCAATAAATAGAAGGATGCGTCTTGAGGACTCTTTTTAGTTTTCTTGGGCTTTTTTCATGTTGGTTCTTAGTTTCGCTCTGAGGTCTTCAGCAACCCATGCTTGTCGTAAGAGGCGACTAACGGGATCGTATCCCAACTGCGTAGATCGATGCTCATGATGTTACTCACTGAATTGTCTGGTTCCTTTGAATTCAGCAGCGTTGTTCGATTCGATGCACAAAAGGTACGGAAAGTTCTTGGATTTGTCACTTTGTTTATCAGCTTGATTTCTAGAATTGTTGTCCTGTCCCACAGCGAAGTATACGTGACACATGTGGTCTCAACTTATGCAAGTGAATTTGTTCCAAATTGTGTTCACCCAGCAGAAAATGGTTATTCGAATGAACCTTCCAAGGCCTCACTGTGGTAGTAATGTCCATTCTGTCATATGCGCTTAGAGCATGTGCGTGGCCTTACCATTATTACAAAGGAATGTAGATATACAGATTACTACACGAGTGTTTGTCAGATACCATATATTTTACATGTAGATGTAGGCATAACAAACTGGAGTACCAATTATATTTATTTATTTTCCCCCAAACAAACAAAAACAAAAACACGTACATAACCTGAAAAAAAGAAAGAAAACAAACAAAACAAAATTATCATCAACATCATCGGTAAAGTGGTTCGTCCAACTGATCGTCACAAAGCTGGCAAAATGAGTTCTGGCGAGGAGTAAGCTGGCCCAGCGACTTGGTTTACATGATAGTCACGCAATACTGGATACAAGACAGCAAGGGAGAGCACTCTAATACCAGACTCCGAACCAGGACCTGGAATCATTATTGTTCGACCTTTTAAGTAAAGATCTTTCAGACGTTGAATTTTCATGGATACCTGCTCATTTTGGCCTACTTGGAAATGAGAAAGCTGTCAAATTAGCAAAAGCTGGTTTGACTTTGATGGGTCAGAAGAAGACGAGACAATATTGCCCTCTCCTGCAGAAATATGCTATGTCAGTAAGATCAATGGCAACAGAGATGGACCTCATCTTTAAAAGGTCGCCATCTCTATGGCATCGAGCCTTTTCTGTCTAAATCAAAATTAACAATCATAGAGAAGAGGTTCTTTTAACCAGACTTCGTCTTGGACATTGTGGTCTTAATATTATTAATAAGTATATGTCTGCAAAGTGTGTAATCAGCTAGATAATGTGTCTTATTATATACTGCATTGCCAAAAATATGTAAAGCTATGTTGGAATATCTTACAGCTCTCAATATTGACATCTCATTGATTGGACTATTGTTCTCAAGGAATATCGTTCGCCATGAAGTTCAGAATGTGATTCTTGATTACTACTACTAGTATATTAAAGCGTGTGGCAGCTTTACTACGTTATAAATGTTCATAAACTAGCAAACCTTGTGGGCAAGGTGTAAATGGTCCTACCTAACATTGCGAGGATGGGGCCGAAGCCTGTAGGAATGGGACAAATTAAGCTGGAATGTGGGAGGACTTTATAAACACGTGAGTACGACTTCTGACGATTTCAAACGTTTCCGTGAAGGTTATGAACTTACAGGATTATTAGTCGAACAAACAAGCTTCAATTGCACACAATGGGACAAGTGTTGTCGACTAGATTCTTGAAAGGGATGATTCCTGTCATGTTCTTCTTGCCTGTGCCTGTAGAAAAATTAATGATCACAAATATGCAACCAGTGAATGATACACCCTTGAAAACGCCTAAACTACCTGCACATGTATCTCAACCCAGGAATAGGTATGTGTTGAACAGTGAACATGTGAAAATCTTCAGTTTGTATCATATAGAATATGGTGTATGCTGGCAAAACATAAACTGTAACAGCTTGTTCATCAATCCTTATTCATTTACTGAATAATATGTTTGTGTCAAGAATACACCATGTTTATGGTTTTGATGACAACCTGTTGAAACC